TTTCGTATTTTGCATTCGCTCTGTCTCGCTATATGTAGATACAAAAGTATCTAGTGGCTGTGGCAGCCATTCTGCATAGCTGTGAGTGGCTGCGATTGGCATGCCGTCAAAGATCTGCAACAGCCTTGAAGACACGCGACTCGATCTCGGATTCGAGCTCGAATCTCGGGTATCCGTCAAATGCAATTGCCACCAAAAATGAAACTTGAAGAATGTCGTGTGTCTCATTGTTTGTGCCACAAAATGCTACAAACCATTAATCACTCTAAAATGTATCTTTTAACTGGTTTCTAGAGATCATTCTATGGTCGAATGGCCGATCTCGTTTTTTTGGGAATGTGCGTTTTTGAGTCTTTTTGGTATCACGTAACAATCCCCGCCCCCCTGCCCAGTGGAGGCATAAACAAATGGAATGATAGGGAACCTGAGAGCTTGTTTTCCAGCCCAGAATATTACGAATAAACAAACATAATCCAATACCAAATGCGAATCAGGTTAGCCAACGCTGCAAATGTATCTGCGACATCCGTTGGGGCTCTTTAAACGATTGCTGCACGAATGAGCGACTGAGCACTTTACGACTTATAAATAGTCAATTGCGTTATAAAAAAACTGTCTAAAAATATGTTAAATACCCGCAGCCAGCAGCCCGCACCCCGCACCCTCACAGACTCTGTCTTTAAGCCATAAAAAATATGGCCCATTCAGGCCGGGGGCGTGGGGGCATTAAATGCGTTTTTATGAATGGAACTGCAACGAGACGGACAAAACAGTGTCTGAATGCAATTAAATATTAAAGATATTGAGCAGGTCGGGGTCCGGGAACCAGCCATGGGAACCACAACCACTCATCCACCCACTCAACCACGCAGTCACCCAAATCGAACCGAAGCGAAAAATATTCACCGAAGAAATGCTATAACTTGTGTGTACCATTGCCTTCTGTGTGCAGCAAATATCTCTATACCCTTTTTGCGAGTGAGAGAGAGAGTATCACAAGTGGCTGTAAGTCATGTGCCTTGGGAGAGTGCTGCTCCTAGTCCAGTGTCGCATGCGGCAAACGGTAATAAAACGCATTTGCCCAATACCCCAACGCACAACGCCCACCCATAACTGTTAAGCTGTGCCCCATGTATCCAAAGAGAGCACTGGAGTCCAGCGGCCACAGAGGCAGCCAAGCAGCTACCGATCGGCAACAGCAGCAGCAGCCACTTGCAACGAGCTTGTAATTAGTTGCAGATTTGCCAGCGACCTGAATCAATTGCCCGAGTTACCGTTACCCTCCTCCCCCCAGGCCCCACTCTTCATGCTCAAACGCATTTTCATGGTAGAGTGCCTAGCGGTTTGCCAGCGTTTTTAATCGCCAGCCGGACAGTTGGGGGCTTAACAATTGATTGATTCGGAGGGGGGGATTATTAACGGAGTTTTGTAGTTTTGGTAAGGGACAGCCCACGCTTCAAGCTCAAGTGCATTTTAAGTGGCATCCAGTTGTAGCCAGCGTTTTGCTGGCACTTGTAATCTCTGCCTTATAATGGATTGACTCTACGGATCGACGTTACTGTATTCTCCGGGGATAATACTTAGCATCAGACAGCCCACGAGAGCGATTTGCTTAGATATTTAGTCCAACATTAACGGTCTTAAATTGATCGATACAGCGGGCTACCGTTGCAGCTGCATAGAAGATTATTGCTACGAGTATTCTCTGAAAATCATTGGGTGGACACTAATCGGCTTTATGATGGTAATTGATTGTGCAGTACCCACACTGGCTGTTGGCATGGATTTCCAGCAGCTCAGAGATCGTTTACATATATTGTTATTGAGAGAAGCTCAGCCATTGATTGGTTTTGCTATTATTTACATTCGCCACTCGGGCAGTAATCGGCTTTTGAAACGGATTGATTATGCAGATTGACATGTCAGATAGGTACAGGGTACTGGAATATATCTGATTCTTTGTGTTGGGAAGCATTCAATGCATCGTTGATAGAATCATTTAAGAGCTTATGCACAGGATCGCAGTCTCGAGTCGAACTGTTATTTTCCCCGGCATGCACACGACATGTATTTGGTTTTTCTCACAGATTATCTTGTGTACTTTTCGGTTGTGCGTCAAAGAATAAATCTGGGGTGCTCCACCTCTTTTATAGGTTTATGTTGAAGAATATATTCATTCCGGGGACTATTAATCACATCACTGCTAGGGTTTAAGTCTTCAGATATGCTGGAGATTCTTTAGATATTATTTTTGAACGCATACTTATTCCCAAATCGGTACCTTTTGTCCACTTGTAGCCCGCTCCCTGACCTGCTACTGCGATGGCAGTTGTCCGGGCAACGTCAGCAATGGAACCTGCGAGACCCGACCCGGCGGCAGTTGCTTCAGTGCCGTCCAGGAGCTGTACGACGAGACGAGTGGAATGTACGAGGAAGAGCGCACATACGGCTGCATGCCACCCGAAGACAACGGCGGCCTTCTCATGGTAAGTTTTCCGGATATCTGAGGAGAAGAGTTCCTTAATTAATTGCTGGCTTTAACCATTACAGTGTAAAGTGGCCGCTGTACCGCACCTGCATGGCAAGAATATCGTTTGCTGCGACAAGGAGGACCTTTGCAACCGCGACCTGCATCCCACGTTCACGCCCAAGATGACAACGCCGGCCCCGGAGCTGCCTGTGAGCAGTGAGTCCGTGCACACGCTGGCCCTGTTCGCCTCCATCATTGTGTGCCTGTCCGTGTTCATGCTGATCGTGGCCACCCTCTGCCTGACCTACAAGCGGCGGGAGAAGCTGCGCAAGCAGCCCCGCCTGATCAACTCCATGTACAACTCGCAGCTGTCGCCGCTGTCGCAGCTGGTGGAGCAGAGCTCGGGCTCCGGGTCGGGTCTGCCGCTGCTGGTGCAACGGACCATCGCCAAGCAGATCCAGATGGTGCGGCTGGTGGGCAAGGGGCGATACGGCGAGGTGTGGCTGGCCAAGTGGCGGGACGAGCGTGTGGCCGTGAAGACCTTCTTCACCACCGAGGAGGCCTCGTGGTTCCGCGAGACGGAGATCTACCAGACTGTGCTGATGCGCCACGAGAACATCCTTGGGTTCATTGCCGCCGACATCAAGGGCAACGGCAGCTGGACCCAGATGCTGTTGATCACCGACTACCATGAGATGGGCAGCCTGCACGACTACCTCTCCATGTCGGTGATCAATCCGCAGAAGCTGCAGCTCCTTGCCTACTCCCTGGCCTCGGGCCTGGCCCACCTGCACGACGAGATCTTTGGCACGCCCGGCAAGCCGGCCATCGCTCACCGGGACATCAAGAGCAAGAACATTCTGGTGAAGCGGAATGGACAGTGCGCCATCGCCGACTTTGGCCTGGCGGTCAAGTACAACTCGGAGCTGGACGAGATCCACATTGCGCAGAATACTCGCGTCGGCACGCGACGATACATGGCCCCGGAGGTACTGAGCCAGGCCCTCAACGCGCAGCAGTTCGAGGAGTTCAAGCGGGCCGACATGTACTCGGTGGGACTGGTGCTGTGGGAGATGGCGCGTCGGTGCTACACCCCCATTTCGGGCACCAAGACAACAACCTGCGAGGACTACGCCCTGCCGTACCACGATGTGGTGCCATCGGATCCCACGTTCGAGGACATGCATGCCGTTGTGTGCGTAAAGGGATTCCGGCCGCCGATACCGTCGCGGTGGCAAGAGGACGATGTCCTGGCCACCATCTCCAAGATCATGCTGGAGTGCTGGCATCCCAATCCCACAGTGCGGCTGACGGCCCTGCGCGTCAAGAAGACCCTGGGTCGGCTCGAGGCGGACTGCCTCATCGATGTGCCCATGAAGATTGTCTAGGCCCTGAGTCCCTGTGGCCCTGTGCTGCCCCTTAGTGCATATATTAAATATGTCTTGTAGTCTCGTTCTAGGTTTGACCTAAGTTGCATTTAGTTTCTTCCTTTTTTTTCTGTTGTTTTCAATCGAAAGAAGAGTCTTGTGCCCTTCCTAGTTAGTCTCTAATTGTAAGCTGTCTCCAGGTGCAAGGATGGTTTTGTACTTGAGAGGATCCTTTCAGAGGTGCCTATTCTACGGTTACTTTAAGGGCCGCACTGATTGTAAGCTAGGAACTGTAGCGAGTATGTAATTTAAGATCTTTGTCAAATAAGTACCCCATGCAAAATCTTTGGTTAGAAAAATGCTTTAACTATTTGAGAAATATTATATGCACAGAAATACGACATATGTATATTCGGGATATGCGAAGAGAACGACAAAATCCATCAAATTCGAAATTTACATCTAACATATTATTATAATAGTATCGTACGAGAGAGTATAGTTTATGTGCCAGCTCTTGTACGCAACTACCAAGATCCGAAGGTACTCCAGCATACATATATGTATATCTGTTCTGTTTGTATGTCTAGTGTTTAAGTGAAGTCTTTGCCGAATTGTGCAAGATACTAAGTGCTGCCTTATGTAAAATCCACAGAATTAGTTGCCTTAAGACAGAGTGTAAAGACAGAAGCCAGGAAGCGATGGCCTAAGCCCCCATTTACAAACACATACACACTATATAGTATATATAGCAATATTTAGGATATCTGAGTCCTGGTTCTTTTGGTTTTTGTTTTGTAAATATGGCGCAGATGTTTATAGGCCGCTAATCATACATCATATATATTATATCGTTATAAGCGATGCTGTAAATACTATATATGTAGTATATGTATCTGTATCTCTATCTCTATCTCTATCCGTAACTGTTTAACTTATGTATGTCTTATCGAGTAACCTCTTGTTTAAGCTAGATCTAGACAGTAAACGCTATATCCCATAAGAGCAGAGTGTAAGCTATAATTAAAACTAGCTATATGTATCGATTGGATTCAGTTTCAGTTTCATTTTTCATTTTGTTTTGTTGAGTATTTGCACGTAGACCTAAACAAGAACTAAAGTTTGTACGAAAGCGTTTAGTTAATTTATTTAAAAATAATAAAAAATTATTATTAAACCCAAAAGCTTGTTTCCACGTTGGTTTTATGTCAGCAAATAATGATTCCCTCTCCCCCTCTACTCGCCCGCCATCATCTCCATGAATTCTGAAAGAGGAAAAAGATCAAACGGATTAGTCCAGATATATCTGAAAAGATTATAGCGCTCTCTCTCAGTGCCCACCATCAAAGTCCACAGTGCCGGAACCGTCCGTGTCGATCTCGGCAATGATGCCATCGAGGTCGCTGGAGGAGAGCTTGTCGTCGAGGGCGGCCAGGATCTCCTTGAGGGTGGAGGTGGTGATGTAACCATTGCCCTCGCGATCGTACAGACGGAAGGCCTCCTTCAGCTCCTTTTGGATGGCCTCGGCATCCTCCTCCTCGAGGAAATGGGCGGCAATGGCACAGAAGCCATCGAAATTCACCTTGCCCGTGTCCTCGGGATCGTTATCGTCGACCAGGGCCTGCAGTTCGCTCTCCTCGAACATCTGACCCATGCTGTTGAGGATCGTCTTCAGGCGCAGGGTCTCGATGAAGCCCGTCTTTTGTGTGTCGAACATTTGGAATGCCTTGCGCATGATGTCCATTTTCTCATCGTCCTCCTGCGGTAAGCGGAAAAGTTAGTCCGTTGCACGGCTGATTGCACAATCATGAACATAAACCGATAGATACCATTTTGTATCTGTGTGTGGGGCTGCTGTGCGCGGATCTCCGTGTGTATAGAACGTGTATCTCCTATTCCCGATCTCTGACTGAATGCTGCTGCGGCGGCGATCTGCGATCTGCTGTCCTAGAATGCGTTCCAACTGCGTTGGCCTGCGGGCGCGCACTAAACCGATCGTCTGGCCAAGATCATTATTTATAAACGGCATATTTTGCTTAGTGGAAGCGTCACGCAGCAGCAGCAGCGGCGGTGGCGGCAGAAGCCCACCTCAGCAGAGGCAGAAGGCAGAAGGCAGCAGCAGCCGTGGCAGAAGCAGCGGCAGCGGCATCGGCGGCAGAGGTGGGGCAGTAGCAGCCTCATCCATCCATCTGTCCATCCTTCAGAGGGGGTACTCGTACTTTCGGCTTTCGGCTTTTGGCGCAATACTTTATTAACAGCCATCGGAATGCGGCTGGGGCTGGGGCTGGGGATGGGATCGGTGGGGAGGGGGCTGGAGAGGGTGCAGCCGGAGACTGATTCTGGCCAGACGCAAAAATCTCAATCAGATCAAAGTGTTACAGGTGCACTGGGGGCCGGGGTTTTTGGTTGTGGTTTTTGGTGTCGGCTGATGTCTAAGGTCGGGCCAGAGCATCGACGACGTCATCTCGCTTCCATCATATTTTTTTCCGCTGGCAGCCGGAAAAACCGAGCGCACCGCAGCGCACGCCACAGTTATGCAAAGAGCAGCAGCACACACTCCTCTACACACTCACTACCGAATGTACATACATATGTACATTTGTATGTACTATCCATCCACCCACATGCGGAGTGTGTGCGTCCGTCTGTCTGTCGGTCGGTCACTCAGTCACTAAAAATCGACTATAAACGTCTTCACAATCAGTCACAAAATCAGCGCGATTTTCTCACGGTAATTGTATTTTTAGTACTTTATAGCAATTTTTGTCCATATGATCGTGAGTGGGCCAGATGCCCACTGGTGGTGGTGGTGGTAGTTCCACAAGATCTCTGCTGGTGCGGGTTCTGCGGTTAACCGCCGCCCTGCTGTCCCACTACTGGGGCATGCTATGTTCTCTCTCTCTCTCTCTTTCGCAAATTGTTCTCTGGGCAAAAATGTTGATTTGGTTTTATATTTTTGCGTTAAAACAAACAAACAGGCATTCGGGCACTGGCAAATGGACATCAAGGAAGATGGACAGGCCGCCCAAGTCTGGCGGGTACGGGGATGGGAATGGAAACTTGGATGTTGGATACGAGTAGTTCTCTGTATCTGTGGGTAACCTTCCGGCGGCATTTTTTGGCAAAGGCAGCACCAACATCAGCATCAGAATCAGCAACAGCAGCAGCAACTTTTGATGGTCATTTGATTTTTATTATTTATGACAAAACGTGAAACACTTTTGGAATGTGTCCCCAGACAGGAGGCACTACACCCGTTCAGCTGCGGGTGCACATGGGGGATACTGCGGCTCGATTGTTTTTACATATTTCAACGAAATTGTGTGTACTTTTCGTATTAGCCCCGGCAAAAATAGACCAAGTGGTGACCACGTCGGAGGCAAAAGTTCTAATTTCGTTGCTGACATGAAATTTAAGGCAAGATTTACGATGTAATTACCAAAACAAATGGTATCCGCCAGGAGCGCACTCAATACCAGGTACACATGGTATCCTGAAAGAGGAAGCGGTACGTTAATTGATCAAAGAATTGCCATAAGTTAAGACTATAATTAGCCTTGTGAATGATCAGCTATCCGTATTTGCTTTAGTAAGGCATTCTTTAAAGAAACACAATTTCATAAAGAGATCAAAGCATCATAAAAGATTCAAATTTAATTTAATTCTCATCAGATCTGACAAAAATTCAAAACTGGTCACGGGACAATCTTCCTAGGATCATAATTCCTGTCCATTCAGTACTTTACGATTATTAATTCGCCCCGAATTGGGCCCCACTGCCAAATTTGGCCGCGTGAAATTCAATTACAAACGTTCCGCATATACATACATATGTGCATACGTACGATTATGTATCGTCCGGCTGAACGAACCGAAATTGATTTAAATAGTTTATGCAACGCGGTGCATCTCGTCCGACTATCAGAGCTCTGCGAGATCTGGACGAAGTCGGGGAACGTGTCTCCGCTGTTGGCTGTTGTGCTCACCTTACTGAGCCCTCAATGGCACACCTACCTAACAGAAGGTATTTCACTGGCTTAGGAGAGTTACCCTTTGTCTGTACAGGTGTTCCTAGAGGTATCCACCAATCCCGCAGAATTGCACAGCGGGACTTCTAGCCACCGCAAAAATGCAAAGTGATAACCATTTACAGCCAGAAGGAAAAGCCAGAAAACTATTGTGTTTCGTTCTCTTTTTCTCTACCAGCAAATCACATGGAAAGTGAGCGAGAAAAAAAAGCCGAAATTTTCGTATCCAACACAGTAAAATCAACGTCCATTCCGCTGAGACGCTGATTGCTTGTTCATGCAGGACTCTAGGACGCTTATTAATTGGTTTTGTTGCTTTTTCTACTACATTGATGCCTTTCTCAACCAGTTTGTCATGCTGTATATCCTTGAGAAACATAATGAGACGACCAAGTTGATGGAGGAAAGAACCCGCTTCGAAGAAGCAGTGGGCATATGTTAGGTCTGCTTCTAATCTTTCTATTGGATCATTTCTGTTCAGTTCGAGAGTCAGCAGCTGAAGCTTATTAGGAATGCACTGAAGTAAACTCTCAGGAACATTCTCCTGTCAGTCGCAACTCTACTTACCACTTACCTTATTTTACCACTGTTGGGCGTTTTAATCGATGTCGGTCGTTTTTAATTTGCCTCATTCCTACACTTGAATGGAGGGTCATTCATGATCTACCAGAAAACGTCTGAATCTTCTGAGTCTCCAGCTGCTGGGCATCCATTTGGGCCATCAACTGAAAGACAATGTGAAAAAACAATTAGATGTACTCGAATTTCCCAAAATTAAAAAGCATACATTAAATCTGAGGAATAAGAATATTTAGGGAAATATACTGGCATGTGGTTGGGGATTCCAACACTGCCCATTATGAGTGGGTTTCTGTGTTTTCCACATGGCAATCAACAGGAGCAGCAGCAGTAGCTACAGAGTGTCAATCATGTCAGCAACTCGTTGGCCCAGATGACAGATGGCAAGCAAAGAGCTTCCTCCCCCCCATAGCCCCATTGTGCAATGGCTGCGTACGCCAGTCTGTGGGTGTACCGAGCATCTACCGAAAGCAATTTCACGCGCCTTGGCTGTATTTATTGCAAACGAAAACATAATGGAATTTTCGGTTGCGAGGGGCGGCTGGTTAAAGCCAAAACCCAAGCGAAAGGCGGACCAATTCGAATCGAGTGAAACCAAACAAGTGTGTGCATTCCGTAACTATGAAGCGACGAGAGCTCCGGATGCAGTCAGTCGAGTCAGTCGAGTCAGTCGAGTCAGTCGGGCCCAAATCCAAATCAAAGCAGGCGAAAATGTTTGATCGATAAAAGTCAAACGATTGTTAGAAATTCCCAACTGTTGGGGCTGCTAATCACAACTCCGAAACAAAGTAAATATTTAGTAAGTAGCAAACATTAGACGAAGGCTGAACAAACGCAAACCCAGCGGATCTGAAGAGGAACCGAAACAGAACTGAGAGCTGGATCCTGGGACAGGACAGCAACAATGGAGGAACTGCAGGATGCCAGCATTCACCACATGACAGCCAAGGTTATTTCGGCCATCAAAACCACCAAGTCCTACGAACCCATCTACAAGGAGCTGCAGCGCCTTGCCTGCAGTCCCAATGTGGATCCCATCGACATGCGCAATACTCTGGAGGATGCCATCAAGGGGGCCGGCCTGGAAACAGAGATACGCAACATTGTCTACAATCTGGTGCGCAGTCGTCTGTCCAAGCCAGACCCCACCGCCACCACCAAACAGCTATCGGTGAGTACTCGATGGCAAGACGGGCTATATTTTGTTCGTATAAGAGGGCCTTAAGATTTTATCTCTGAAGATTAGGAAAGGGCCAAGAGCTCTCATAATTTTAAGTGTTTAGAGGACTCTACAGACCGATCTATAAAGCCAAACGGCTCGTCCAAACATTATGAAATATTGTTTGTACTTCTAGTAGGTATGTGAAAATATCTTACAGTATTTTTCACCTTCTTACCACTATTAATAACTTTTTAAGCATATACATAACATATACATTTCACATAAGATGTGAAAAACGTGTATACGAAAAGTTTGCATTTACATGCGCTTCGTTTCTCCGTCTCGCAGTCGAATATTGATTCCGCTCATCCAAAAGTGCTGATTGGTTCTATATCCAACCAGCAACCTCCTGCTGAAAATTAAGTCGGACGAATGGGCGAAAATTAAGAAATTTCGAAGCTCAATACCAGGCGAATAGAAATCAGCAAAACGCCTCTGACTTTTTTTATACCTGATACTCAAAATGAGTTTACGGCGAATATTAGATTTGTGGTGAAGGTGGTTATGTGTAACGCACAGAAGTAACGACCCCATAAAGTATATATATTCTTGATCAGCATCAATAGACGAGTCAATTGAGCCATGTCTGTCTGTCCTATGATATCACAAATCATCAATGACGGCCCAACAAAAGACGAAAATCTGTGGAATCCACAGTTTTCAAGATTTACTCTTTTCGAGTATCGGTTATACAAATAGTGAAACTGAATAGAATTCACTTGGTTTTAATTATAAAAATAATTATATTATATCAAATATTTTCATATTACTGTCAAAATGTAAGTGAAAACACTTCAGCTTTAATAATTCCACTCTCGGCGAAGATATAATGGCATAGATATATACTTATAATTCTGTTCCCAGGGCTTTTGTCTATGGGTGTAGACACTTGAAACATTCGCAAGCCCATTCAGCACCCAGGGGCAAGGCTGTCAAGATGACGGCTCCTGAAGTATATCTGGCAATTGATGTAATCTTGATGGCCTTCTATTCCATTATATTTTACTTGTAGAAAACCACTTTAAGCGATCCCCTGGGCTATCTGAAAAGAGCCGGGGTGCTGTGGGATCGACGGGTGCGCAAGAGCTTGAATGCCATGTGCACAGAGCTGAAGGTCCCGCTCCATGGACAGCCCCGCATCAGTACGGATCGCGAGGACTTTATGGCGAAATGGAATGAGCTGAGCAACTACAGCATGGGTGAGAGTACAACCCAGATTTGTCTCCGATAAATTGATAAATTCATGAATTCCCATGGAATTTTCAGACCTAGCCAACTATCGACCTGTGTACGCGCCCAAGGATCTGCTAGAGGTGCTGCTCTCTCTGAAAGGACCCGCCAAGACCACCGAAAATACAGAGTAAGCAACTCCTCAAACCCTGCCCATCCTCAGTCGGTGCTATACTCAGCGTTTCCTTATTCTTTAGCCAAATTCCTCAATGGGAGTTCTCGCACATTGCTCTGCCCGTGAAGAATCTCTTCGAGCTGCGGACCCACTTCGCGGATCTGCTGCGGGGTGACGGCTACCTGGGTATGCCGGACCTAACAACGCAGTGCCAGCGCATTCTGGAGACCCGACATGCGCCCATGTGCCAGCAATTCCTAAAGAAGGGCTGCACTCCGGCCCCGTATCGAGGTGCCCTCTGGGCGGCCGTGCTCGATAGCAAGCTGCATGACTACGTAAGGGATACCCAATTGTTTAAAGAAGAGAATTATATATGTCTGATAATCTTTCTCCAGGACATAGAACACTGGCAGAAGTTGCGGAACACTGTTTGGACTACGGATCATATCGTGGACAAGCTGGTCTTCAAGGACATCCAGTTAACGGCCTCCAACGATGATCAGTATTTTGTGTTCGAGGATGTGCTCTACCAGGTGCTGCTCTGCTTCTCCCGCGACACGGACATTGGGAGCTGTGTGGACTACGAGGCATTCCCGGTGAAGGGCAAGACGTACGAGGGCCCTCCCTCGGGCGTGGTGCCCTTCCACGGGATCTGCATGTTCGCCGCTCCGTTCTGCTATCTGTACGACTCGCCCGTCAATCTGTACTACACCTTCCGTGCGTTCTATATACGATACTGCCACCGACTGACCACCATCAACACGCATCCCCAGGGCATTGTCAGCCTCTGCCTGCTGTTCGAGAAGCTGCTGCAGACCTATGAGCCCCAGCTCTGGTCGCACTTCCGTGAGCTACAGATACAGCCGTGAGTCCAAGTTGGAGAATATTCCTTATCCTTTAAATAAACTGAACTCCTTCCAGTTTGCGAGTGGTTTTCAAATGGCTAATGCGCGCCTTTTCCGGACACCTGCCACCCGATCAGCTCCTGATCCTTTGGGACTTGGTGGGTAGTTCCCTAAACCACATTCCGAAACAAGTCTTCAATTGCCGCTCCCTCATTTCAGATACTGGGTTTCGATAGCCTGGAGATTCTGCCACTCTTTGCCATTATTATCTTAAGCTTCCGCAAGGAGAGCCTCATGCAGGTGGCTTCCTTGGACAACATTGAGTCGATTCTGGCGGATCTGTCCTCGATCAAAGTGCTGCCCCTTGTTCAATTAGCCCTGAGTCGAGACTAGAGATTCGATTTGGGGTTTTGTTGTAGGTACAAAATTCTATGTAACTTTGAGTAGTAATAATATACAATGATCGAATCGATCTAAAATCGATCGAGAAGGTTTATTTGTGCGCCTCAAAGTCCAGCCAGATTCCACCCTTCAGGGTGGCCATGAAGAAGGTATCGTCGAGTTCGTTGTCCGATCGCGTCTTGGGATTGACCTTAATCTCAAAGTTCTGAACAATCTCGACCAAGGCAGCCTTGACTTGGGTGAGAGCGAACCGCATGCCTATAAACAGAAGGAGTATGCTGCATTCTGATCTGCGGTTCATAATGAAAGGAGCACCCTGGACACACCTGGACAAACGCGTGGTCCATCGCCGAAGCCATAGTATACGCCTGCTTCCCGATATTTGCGCACTCCGCCATTGATTTCCAGGAAACGCTCCGGCTTGAACACCTCTGGATCCTCGTAGTACTCCGGATCGTGGTGCATAGAATGGGCTGGAATGATCACCACATCCCCGGGATGGACGCGCACGGTCACACCGTTCTTGTTCACAAAGTCGTAGGCCTCAGTCACTAATTTGCGGCCGGACAGGAGGGGCGCAAAAAGACGCAAGGTTTCTGGGGATTAAAAGATCATCCAAATAGAGGAGTAATGGAATTTGGTCAGTGGTTCGTTACCATGAATACAGGCATCGATGTAGGGCAGCTCGCTCAGCTGCTCAAAAGTTAGATCTCCCTTCCCAATCTCATCGCGCACCTTCCGCTGCTCCGCCGGATTGCGACCGAGCAGCAGGAGCGTGTGGGAGAGCACCAAAGCCGTGGTCTCGAAGCCGTCCGTGAGGAATGTCATCGTGTGTGATGTCAGCTCCGTGGTGTCCAGTCCCTTCTTCTCCTGCAGCTGCAGCATATAGTTGAGGAAGTCCTCGCGCTGTTGCTTAGGATTCTCTCGCCGCAAGATTATGCACTTTTCCATGATGTCGAAGAAGAATTGTTCCACCTCCTTGGCGAACAGCGGCACGCTGTAGATCTTTCGAATGGGTGGCCAGAGGTTCGCCGCCATCGTGTAGAAGATGAAGCCAAAGGACTGCTCGAACACGCGCTTGATCATGCCCACCAGCGGCGTGGGGGTTTCCGTGAAGCTCTGGGCGGAGATTCCCAGCACACAGTCGGACACCACCTCGGTGGTGTAGCACAGGCACAGGTCCTTTGCATTGATGCCATCGGAGGTGGCCATGCGCTGCTGACGTTTGATGTATTCCACAAAATGCTTGCACACGCTCTGCGACACTGGATAGACGGCTTTGACCTTTTTTTTGTTGATAGAGAAAGGTAGTTAAAATTCAAATATACATATTTTTAAAACAAAGAGACCTCAATGTGTTCCAACGAAAATTGTAGAAAACTTTCTACAATTTCTACAAACAAAATTTATACGAAAGTTTATACCCATTAGTTTTTTTTTTGGTAATGCGTTGAAACACCGAGTGCAGTATATATAGTAAATACAACTTTGATAAGCGTAGGCATCCCAGAAGTACGGTTTGCTTTCGAATTCGGTTTCCCAAACTTTACAATTCTCGGAGAATCAACAACGTTCAATGGGCATCACAGTTTGCATACCTAATACCAAATTTTTGTATCTTTAAAAATCTACATGATTCAGTTGTGCAATCAGTAGACTTACAGCCACTCCCGTTTTTCACCACGAATATACTATACTTACAATACAAATAAGCCCCCTTAATTATGTACATATTCAGCAGCACTATCTGAGCTCTATTACCTACCCGATTGGCAGAAAGTCCGGGTGTTATCTCAGCGCGCCTCTCCTTCCAATCTTCTCCTGTTAGTATGAACGGATTGTTGGCCAAGATCTTGTCCACCTTTTTGTTTGTCTATAGAGAAAGAAAGACTTGGGTTTAGCAAAACCTAACACTGATCAGATCCAATTTTACTTACAAACTTTCCAATTTCGTTGTCGTGGAAACTACGGAACTCGCCCGCAAAAATCTTGTGCGCATATTCCGGACACAGAATCATTAGCTGTGGGATCCGTGTGTTGAACACACCCACTACGCTTTCCGTGTTCTTGTACTGCCTGCAAATGGTGATCAAAATCATCACTAGATACTTGGGCTGATCATACCCTGCCTTACCGATAGATTTCATCAATGTCGTAGGCCATGTTCCGCTTCTGGGTGAACACGCTGGGAAAGCTGCCGACAAGGGGCCATGCCTTGGCTGTCTGGATGCCTCGTCTCTTCCAGTAGCCAAAGTTCCAGGTCAGAAAGATGTAGATCAAGGTCAGCAGGGTTGCCAGCAGCAGCAGTACGGCACAAATGGGACACATGATGCGATGCGACCGGTCGACAGCGCGAATGGAACCCAACTGAAGCTCAATTTAGCAGCCAGCCCAATGATTTCAATTGAACCTGATGTCGCAGCTTCGAGCACGGTGGGGTGGTGCAATCACTTAAATTCAACTAATAAATAAATTGATAGAACTGGCTATTTGACCGTTGCGACCGTTTTCGTCCGGGACGGGACCGAAAACATAGCCCCGACCACATTTCATTGTATGATAAGATTCGGTTATGTTATCAAGAACAAGGGCTAGTGCACTTATTCATTACTGGGCCACAGAGCACACATTAATGATGATAAAAATGTATAATAATATACCATATAGGGGGACTGTTCCCCTATACTCTCATTAATTACTGGAAGAAAGGGTGAGCCTATTTCTATTATCAGTAAAGTTAAAAGATCATTGATAAAGTAAGATAATATTGGAAAAATATTCCCATAGCCCCTATCTGTGAGAATTCACCTGTAAATGATATTAAAAACCGGGTCATTACCAGATCCTTACTGGCATCGGAGTCCCTTCAAGTTTCTTAAAAAGCTCAGAGCACATCCGCTTCCACCACCGTGTCCACGAGGGACTCCATCCAAATTTTTCGAGTTAACCCACTTCTTTGGCATTAGTTGATCCATATTGTATTGTTTCATATTATTTACAAGCAAGCAATCCATGCCCCACAAAACCCCAAATGTCAAATTCGATGTTGTGTGAGAATACTGGAAAAATATCAGTATAGTCCGGAGCGTGCGGAGTAAAACATGAAAAAATAAAATTTTAAAAATTCTACTTTTCGAGGAATATTTATTTCGGTTTTTTTTTCAATTAGGTTTAAGAATAAAGTGATTATTTTTTTTTATACAAAAAGCAAAAAACGAACTAAAGAAAAAAAAAAAAAATTTTAATTTTGACCATTTGAAACATTTGAAACAACGGTGCTCAGGGTCAGCGACTGCGCTCGTACACAGAGGTATACGTTTGTTTTCGGTTTGCGGTACATCGAACACAGTGTAAGCATAAATGGTGTTGTGGTGGAAAAGTTTTTGTTTATTTAAATTTTAACTTTTTCTAGGCGGCTAATATGCCACATGCTACACGGCTCGACAATCGTCTGGGCAGGATACTACGTTTCCCAGGGAGTGACACGGATGCCACAAGATATGAAAACACATCGGAAATTAAAAACTATTCGCAATCCAATAGTTGCACACTTTTGGTCGATTAATGAAGAGCGTATGAAGTCATTGCATTTACTCTATATTTTGATACTAAAAATGATTATATTTTGATACAACAAATTATTATATTTTGATACTAAAAATTATTATATTTTGATACTAGAATACACACAGATGTCTAATTATTTTTATTGATAGCGAATGGGCCAGTTAGTTCTATACATTTTGGGTATACGAAGGATGATTCGTATGATACGCAGTGTAGAACCTTGTAGCTTACCATTCCCCATGAAATAATCACACACCTCTTGGCTCAGAGTTGGTTGGAACAACGTATAAATTCTTTTATTTAAATAATACATGTTTGCATTGGAAATATCTGTAAAACTAAAGATGAAATCTTGAATACCTTTCTCTCGGGGGGTTTTATACATCTGCGAGTATATCGAAAAGAATTCTTAGTTGGGGAACATTTTCCAAGAGGATGCATCCAAGAGATGCGGATATCCAAATCAGCATTTTGCAGTGTCGCAATGCCACTTTTTCCATAACTCTTATTCGTGCTAAAAGATTACCGACCACATCCAGGAACGGATGCCGACATTAGCTGATCGAATAGGCCATCATAAAGACTGATTCGTGTTTGATCGGAGTGAACAAGCACAGCCTACTGCCCAGGAGAATAAAATATCCCCCCCAAGACCCGAAGTAAATATTGAGCAAGCAATCCATGCCCCACAAAACCCCAAATGTCAAATTCGATGTTGTGTGAGAATACTGGAAAAATATCAGTATAGTCAGGAGCGTGCGGAGTGAAACACAAAAAAATAAAATTTTAAAAATTCTATATTTCTAGGAATATTTATTTCGGTTTTTTTCAATTAGGTTTAAGCATAAAGTGATTATTTTTTTTATAAAAAAACCAAAAAGTGAAAAAAAAATAAAAAAACCAAAAAGTGAAAAAAAAAAAAATAAAAAACCAAAAAGTGAAAAAAAAAAAAAAAAACACAATTTATACCATTTGAAACATTTCATCACAACGGTGCTCAGGGTCAGCCACTGCGCTCGTACACAGAGGTATACGTATACGGAACATATTTGGAACACAGTGTAAGCATAAATGGTGTTGTGGTGGTAAAGTTTTTGTTTATTTAAATTTTAACTTTTTCTAGGCGGCTGATATTCCACATGCTACACGGCTCGACAATCGTCTGGGCAGCACACTACGTTTCCCGGGGAGTGACACGGATGCCACAAGATATGAAAAGACATCGGAAATTAAAAACTATTCGCAATCCAATAGTTGCACATTTTTGGTCGAAAAATCAAAAAATTAAAATCGAAAAACAAACGCAAAAAACAATTTGGAACTCTGAAGTATTAACTCTATATTTTGATACTAAAAATGATTATATTTTGATACTACAAATTATTATATTTTGATACTAAAAATGATTATATTTTGATACTAGAATACACAAAAATGTTTAATTATTTTTATTGACAACGAATGGGCCAGTTGTATACATTTTGGGTATACAAACAAGAGATATCAATAGGCTTGCTTTAGCTTTTTATATTTTATGTTGTGTGTTTGATGATTAAAAAAAATAGAAGCCTAAATCATAGCATATCATCATAACCATCGGAGCACGGCGCTACGTGCATGGCCGGAGTCGGAGCCGGAACTCCCCATTTGGTCATTTGGCAACTATCCCGATAGGCAGCGTCGCATCCATCCCAGGCAAATCCTTTGGCAAATGAAAACTGAGCTGTGTCCCAGGATGATTCGTATGATACGCAGTGTAGAACCTTCTAGCTTATTATTCCCCATGAAAACCTCTTGGCTCAGAGTTGGTTGGAACAACGTACAAATTCTTTTATTTAAATAATACATGTTTGCATTGGAAATATCTGTAAAACTAAAGATGAAATCTTGAATACCTTTCTCTCGGGGGGTTTTATACATCTGCGAGTATATCGAAAAGAATTCTTAGTTGGGGAACATTTTCCAAGAGGATGCATCCAAGAGATGCGGATATCCAAATCAGCATTTTGCAGTGTCGCAATGCCACTTTTTCCATAACTCTTATTCGTGCTAAAAGATTACCGACCACATCCAGGAACGGATGCCGACATTAGCTGATCGAATAGGCCATCATAAAGACTGATTCGTGTTTGATCGGAGTGAACAAGCACAGCCTACTGCCCAGGAGAATAAAATATCCCCCCGAAGTCCTGAAGTCCCGAAGTAAATATTGAGCAAGCAATCCATCCCCACAAAACCCCAAATGTCAAATTCGATGTTGTGTGAGAATACTGGAAAAATATCAGTATAGTCAGGAGCGTGCGGAGTGAAACACAAAAAAATAAAATTTTAAAAATTCTATATTTCTAGGAATATTTATTTCGGTTTTTTTCAATTAGGTTTAAGCAAAAAGTGATTTTTTTTTATAAAAAAACCAAAAAGTGAAAAAAAAAAATAAAAAATAAAAAACCAAAATGTATACCATTTGAAACATTTCATCACAACGGTGCTCAGGGTCAGCGACTGCGCTCGTACACTGAGGTATACGTTTGTTTTCGGTTTGCGGTACATCGAACACAGTGTAAGCATAAATGGTGTTGTGGTGGTAAAGTTTTTGTTTATTTAAATTTTAACTTTTTCTAGGCGGCTGATATGCCACATGCTACACGGCTCGACAATCGTCTGGGCAGGATACTACGTTTCCCAGGGAGTGACACGGATGCCACAAGATATGAAAACACATCGGAAATTAAAAACTATTCGCAATCCAATAGTTGCACACTTTTGGTCGATTAATGAAGAGCGTATGAAGTCATTGCATTTACTCTATATTTTGATACTAAAAATGATTATATTTTGATACTACAAATTATTATATTTTGATACTAAAAATTATTATATTTTGATACTAGAACACACAAAAATGTTTAATTATTTTTATTGACAACGAATGGGCCAGTTGTATACATTTTGGGTATACGAACAAGAGATATCAATAGGCTTGCTTTAGCTTTTTATATTTTATGTTATGTGTGTTTGATGATTAAAAAAAAATAGAAGCCTAAATCATAGCATATCATCATAACCATCGGAGCACGGCGCTACGTGCATGGCCGGAGTCGGAGCCGGAACTCCCCATTTGGTCATTTGGCAATTATCCCGATAGGCAGCGTCGCATCCATCCCAGGCAAATCCATTGGCAAATGAAAACTGAGCTGTGTCCCAGGATGATTCGTATGATACGCAGTGTAGAACCTTGTAGCTTATTATTCCCCATGAAAACCTCTTGGCTCAGAGTTGGTTGGAACAACGTACAAATTCTTTTATTTAAATAATACATGTTTGCATTGGAAATATCTGTAAAACTAAAGATGAAATCTTGAATACCTTTCTCTCGGGGGATTTTATACAGCTGCGAGTATATCTAAAAGAAGTCTTAGTTGGGGTCCATTTTCCAAGCGGGGAATTGGGATATCCAAATCAGCATTTTGCTGGAAACTTTTGGAGACCTACTCCATTCTGATTCAGGCAAATAATTAAACATCTTTGTGTACTTTAGTATCAAAATATAATCACGAGTAATATAATTATTAGTAACAAAATATGATATTTTTATCCAGTCACACATCACAGTCTATATTTTCCGATAGCCGAATCCTAGAAAGAAGATACATTTTATTCTAATTTGGCAAACCTAAAACCAATTATACTTACAGTGTCAGAACAAAGTATTGGTTCTACTTGCGAGTCTTCTCGGAGCCCTCAGATCCCTCAGATTGCCCGTATTTATGTAGGGGTGTGTAGAAAAACTATCCGAAGAAGCCGTGTTGTACCTCATTGTGCCACCACAGGTATTTTGCCAAGTATTTATGAATATGGACCTAGAAAAAAGTTAAATTTGTATCTATTCAACCTAAAAGCCAAATTTATGCTTACGTAGAGTGCCCGTATTTATGTAGGTTTGTGTAGAAAAGCGGAAAACTGAAGTATATGTTTGTAGTTTTGTATGTATGTCTTGTGGTTTGTTTTTGGACGGGTATTTATGAATATGGACCTAGAAAAAAGTTAAATTTTGATCTATTTATTCAACCTAAAAGCGAAATTTATGCTTACTCTATGCTGGCGGCTCTTGTTAAACAATCAATAGATGTGTATCTTTGAGAAGTATTATTATGTTGTATCTTATCACTAACCATACAGTATACAGTAGAGACGGAAAGGTTAAACAAAATAAAAAATTCAATCGGCAGTAATAATACAAAAATATTTTTGAAGAATATATTGAAAAAAAATCAAGTTCAAACTAACGTTCATCGTAGTAGCCCTATAGAAGGAAAGATGCCTCGCCGCCGAGCTTCACGTCGTAAGCTGATGACCAAGACAGCTGACCAAACGGAGGCTCAAACCAAGTCCGAAGCTGTATGGTTAGTGACCTTATTCACTTTATGCTTAACTTTAAAAACTAAAAAAAACAAATCACTTTTATGCTTAAACCTAATTGAAAAAAAAACCGAAATAGATATTTTTCAAAATTTAGAAATTTAGAATTTTATTTTTTTGTGTTTCACTCCGCACGCTCCTGACTATACTGATATTTTTCCAGTATTCTCATACGACATCGAATTTGACATTTGGGGTTTTTGGGGGCATGGATTGCTTGTTTCAGTTTTTTGTGAATTTTTCGTTGACTCGTTTTTGACAATTTTTTGACATCCCTAGAGTCTCAATTTGTGCTTCCGTACTTTTTTTTAGTATTTGATTATCCACTATAAATTGTCATATGAAGTCAGCGAGGAAGAGTGGGAGGAAGATAGCGAGGAAGAGTGGGAGGATGAGAGCGATCTATACACCTCGCTAGACGGCGGGGGGAGCGAGAAATCGAGCGACTTTTTACGACGTTGGTCGAGAATTTTAAGAGAACTTTGTTTACATTCGGGGAATGTTTCCCAACTAAGATCTCTTTTAGCATTGAAGCATTCATATTTTAGATTTCATTATTGTTTTTACAAGTGCATATTTCCGAAACAGTCTCTATTTGAAATAGTAAATTGAATTAGTAATGATTTAAATCAGCTTGGAAAACAGAGTTTTAATACTAATTAAAGTAAATAAGCGTAACATTTCATGCTCACTTATGTACATACGTTTCACTTTATACTCATTTACGTTTTATGCTTTAACCTTTTTTGCTTAAATATTATTTTATAAACAATACAATAGAAAGGCGTCCTCAAAATTGGCCAATCTTGTAGAAAAGTTATTCTTTAGGGGTGTCGGTCAAAATCGAGGAATATGATTTCCATACATGGACAGAGAACGATTAACCCATTATCGACCAGCTTGTACTAAAATAAACTCCACTGAAGTAGTTCAGCATAGTTTAGGTGGAAGATATCGTGGTTTTTTTTGCAAGTAAAGGGGAAGGATAGGATGGATCTACAAAAATAATTTACAAAACAGTATTATTTTTCGCGGTTTAAACACTAACCATACAGTGTGGTTAGAGGTTTAACTCAAGTTGTTATACTGTTTAAATAAATGGCGCTTAAATGGGATAAGTTTGGTTTTTCATCGGTATATTTGCGGTATTTCGGAGGGTTAGACGGTCACACTGTTGCTCTCTCCTGCAACGAAAAAAATGAGCCGTAATTTTCATGGAAAAAACAGACAACATACCATTCGAACATACCTTGTTTCACTGCAATTTCACAGCAGGCGGATTTTGAATTTGAATGAAACGGCCTTGCAGCCCCGCATTTGGAACGAGTGGGGACAGTAGCCGTAGCCGTTACCATTAGCGTTTAGTCGTCATGTGAAAAATGCAGCAAAATGTAAATATTGTAGAAACGATTCGAAATCATAAATTTCAAAGAAATCTATTCACTGCCTTCGAAATGAGTTATACTCTTTTGATTACGAAAACAGCTGGACTAAAGGAAAATCATGACGCGCATCTTGCAGACGGATCTGTTCAATAGGTCGGCACGAAGAGCCTAAATAATGCACGATCAGCTGTTCAACGAATCGGGAATGGATCTAGAGGTAAGGAGCAGCTCGATTGTCGGCCCCCAGAAAATATTCTTGCCCCGCTTTTCGGACCAGGTAACCCTGGACCTTTGTAACTGAAGAATTTCTGGCCTTCCTAAATACGATTACACATGTGCCGTGCCATGGACTATGACCCGATCACGCATTAAATTAACTTTGTAAGGCGGATTAGCAGATCCCCTGAACATTGGTTAACTTTTTTTCAGATCGAAAGCAGAAGTCACAGCATCAAACGTTCGGTGGTAGTTATAGCATCAAAGATTACCCTATTTATTGGCTTACATTCGGGATTCAATAGACGCGTAACTCCGCGCTCCTTCCCAACTATGTGGAAGACGGTTTTGAAGCGGTCAAGTAGCCGATTCAAATTCAATAAAAATTCAAATTTAATAATACAAAAATATCTCGAACCCGTTTCTTTTCTTTTTTAATGCGTTCCAAAAGATGCTGTTTTCTTGCATTTTTGAATTTGCTTATCGAACTATAAATCAGCTGATCGATAACCTCTTATCGATTTCAGTATTTCATTGCATGGGTGTGATTATTTTTATACGGTCACACTGCATGACGTTTGCATTGTGTAGTTATTTTTTTTTTGTTAGTTTTTGTTCGCTTTTATTTAACGTTTTCGGGTGCAGATTCGTCATCGTTCGCGTAGTGAATGTGTGGTGTTTCGGCCAAGCCTTGTTACCGTTTCGAGTGTGTGTGTTCATTCCGTCCTTACAATTTGGAGTTTGACCTTTCTTCCCCGCACGTCTTTGCTTCCGGGAAACTAGTGGAGTAAATTCGCTGCTTGTGAAATCCATAAAACATCAGTCTCAATCGGGGCCGCAGTCGCAGTCCCAATCATTCGCCTGTTGCGCCTGTTGGGGTGGAGCTCTCTCTTTCGCCTTTCTCTCTCACTCACTCTCTCTCTGTGAGTTTCCCCCCACCCCGTTCAGCTGTTGCGTTTGCGTGCGTGTAGGCCAGTGGCAGCAGAACTTTATGTCCATTTGGATGGTGGAAAAACTATAATATTTTGTGTCTCTGGGCCGATGTTTAGTGCGAGAAAATAGTGATATACGGCACGTGCAGGCCCCATCATTCATGCCGTAGAGCAGAGTTGTTCTGTCTGGGCCTGCTCCTCCTCTCCTCCGTTGCACAATTACTGTGTTTACACTGCCAACACCAACACAAGCACAAACAACAGTGCTACCAATACCAACACCAACAACAACAACAGTGTTGATTAGAAGGTAAGCAACAGTAAATACTTATGTTTTGCAGTTTATATAATTCCGTTTTCTTTCTTTCCGCTGATGCTTTTGCTTCTCTTTCTCTCTCATTCGGGCAACTTGTTTTACCCGTATGTGTCTATGTATGTACATCTGTACATCTAAAAGATACATCTGTAGTATATGTATATATAGATGTACATACATATGTATCTATGAGATGTACATACATACATATATACTCGTATTGCTATTAATTTACGCTTTCTGCTTGGCTGCTTCAATTAATTCTTTGGTTTAGTTTCTGCCTCCTGCCTGCTGCCTGCTGCCCGATGCTCTTTTACATTTCGCTTAATTACCACACATACCCGTACGCCGTACCGCGTACCCTCTCATAAGTATCTGTCGTTTTCGCAACAAGCAGCAGCGCGCTCTCGATCGTGGAAACGGAACTCATTAACCCCTTACCGGGGGGGTAGGTAATAGGAACTACCTCTTGAAAGCTCCGAAATGAAGTTTCTGGCTGGGCCTCGTCTGACCGTACCACGGTTTTCCGTGGATGTGTATGCCCTTGCATGTAGTAAGTGGATTCTGCGGAGCCCACAATTTATACCACAGATTCATTCAAATTGGGGAATGATATTCCTTCCAATTGGATTTTACATTCAGCGTTAAAGCTTCTGTCGCATTAACCATCAGTATCGAAGGGTATCTTAAGCCTCGACCCTGAACCATCCATTTAAAATCGAAAAAATCCAAATACTGTATCATATAGTATCTCCTATAGAAATAACCGATCTTTAAATGTATCTTTCCTTCTTTCTTTTTTCTTGCGGCTGTATTTAAATTGTATTTGTTCACTTGTGAAAATCGCAGTTTCACAAAAATTGTGAAAGTTTTGGTTTTCCATAACTTGGGTTTTTCTCTCTCCCATGGAGAGGCATGAGCGAGCAGTAGCCAGTAGCCATGTCTGCCATGCCATGCCATAATTAATGCAGCTAAGCGATTGCTTTCGGCTTCTTTTAAACAATAGGACTGTAGAGATTGCATGGGAACCATTTAATATTTACTTTACTAATTTTTTGGTTGTATTTGAACTCTTCTTTTTTATCTTTTCGTTTGATAAAACAAATCTGCTATATACGAATAGATGACGAAATATTTTTCGTAGACTTGGGAACATGTACTAAAGGTTGAAGACCTTTTATTGAACCCTGTACTTATGGAGTATAGAATGATCTTCTTTGATTAGATTTGGGTCTTAACATTTGCACAATTTTCAAGGCCCTAATTCGAATATTTGTTAGCAAATGATAAAGATTAAACATTTATAAATAGCAAACGATTCAGCTACTGACCTATGGTGTTCTTAGGTCTTCTATTCTGGGATCTACTCGTACAGTCAGCGATAAACGTCGATTGGGCAGTAAACCGAAATACTAATTTGAGAATGCGAGTTTCCGGTGTATTTTTTTCTAAGAAAAGCATATAGAAATAGAAATATAGAATATAGAAATCTTGCTTTTTATACCCGATACTCAAAATGAGTATTGGGGTATATTAGATTTGTGGTAAAAGTGTATGTGTGTAACGTCCAGAAGGAATCGTTTCCGACCCTATAAAGTATATATATTCTTGATCAGCATCAATAGCCGAGTCGATTGAGCCCTGTCTGTCTGTCCGTCTGTCCGTCCGTCCGTCTGTCCGTCTGTCCGTCCCCTTCAGCGCCTAATGCTCAAAGACTATAAGAGCTAGAGCAACGATGTTTTGGATCCAGACTTCTGTGATATGTCACTGCTCCAAAAATATTTCAAAACTTTGCCCCGCCCACTTCCGCCCCCACAAAGGGCGAAAATCTGTGGCATCCACAATTTCGACGATACGAGAAAA